CAGTCCACTGTTGGCCAAATTCTGGTCGCAGCGAACTAAAAGTTTCTTTGAATTCGCGCTGGTGATGGGTCGTATCTGTGAATAGTCTTATCATAAACACCACCTACATCTACTACAATATCACAGTCTTAAGAAGCGATTCATCTCTTGTTCTAACAATTATAACTATTAGAAATTCTTTGAGTTGCAATAACATATAACAGCTAAAACTTCGTCACAATGAAAAACTTGATTGTGAGTCCCTATTTTAAGAGGGGAGTTTTTAGAAAATTCTAGATTATGCATTGTAAAAATTTAACGGTAGTGGTAAATTAAAGAAAAACAACTTTACTACCAGCGCTGCGATACAAACTCCTAACCCCAATCTTGAAAGCGGCAAAACGTGCCAGTTACCCAATCCTGGAATCATTTTGCCAAAGATCAATGATTTTCAGATTGTGAGCTATGATGGTCGATACGCATCAACATTTTGGCTATTTGTAGGGTTAGGTTTGTGGTTTTTAATACACAACATCATGTTTTAACGTTATGTATTTTTATCTATACACAATATCATGTTTTAAACAACATCTTATTTTATTGCATGCATATATACATATACACAAATAATATTTTATTTATATAATCAAATGCTAACATGAAAAATTCAAATTGCTCTGTTCGTTTGCAAACCCTGTGTACTGCCACACATAGACCTTATATTACATGGACTGCTAGTTGCATACATTTCACAGGTAAAAAATGTCAAAAGATGTTCACTGTTGCGAAGGTAAATGCATACATAGATAAAAGAAGAGTATAAATAAAAAGAGTAAATGTGCCGCCGAGAAACGTAAAGATAGATTAAATAATGCATACGAACACGAGCGTGGCCGAGAATAGTTGAATGCTCTCGATCCCTTAAACATCAAATGAAAGTCCGTGTGTTTGGAATTGTTGAGAAAATATTATATATTAAACAATTTATGTTGAACTAATGAATATAATGAACTATTTATTTATTTATTAAAGTTGTGTTTATTGTTTATTGATTGTTTGTGATTATTTTAATGTGTTTAAGGAAAATTAGAAAAAATAAAAAATATTTTATATGTATATTTATATATACAGTTGGCTATTTATAATAGGTGTTATATTGTTGTTTGAAAAGCACAATTTTCGTGTGAAAGTTGTAAAGAATTTTATGTTCTTCATGGTGCATTCAAATTGTTAAGTACATTTTTGTAACAAAGTTGATAGTGCTGGATAAATTACTGAAAAATGACTTGATCTAGAAAAATATGCAGGTCCCAAGTCATTCAACTTTTGGAGTTATCATAGAATTTTTGTACATTGAATTTGAGAGAAATTTCGAATTATGCTTTCTATATACAAACAAATTCAACATTTCATCTATGAAAGATATCACATTTTTCATATCGATTAATGTCGAATTTTCTGGTTCTCCTACAATCCTCGCAAAGCACTCATTTATTTAATCTATCTTGACGTTTTTCTTCGGCGGCATATTTACCCTCGCAACAGAAGAACAACTTTTGACATATTTTACCTGAAAAATGTATGAGGACTAGCAGTCCATGTAATATAAGGTCTATGACTGTCATTCATTTATGAAACTTGCAATTGCTCAATTCAATGTTCTATGCCTGAAACGTCAAACTCACTGGATTGTCTGTCAAAGTCGAAAGCCTTGATTTCTGATGTGAATTAAAAAATTTGGTTTCTCTGTGTACTTATTTATTTATTATGCACTAATACTGAGGAATATTTTTCAAGATCATTTGTTTGCCTTATTGAGATTATTTTAATCAACTAATAAGTTATTTTGCAATATCAATTGCTTTGTATGCAGTGACAATATCACAAAAATTCAGTTTAAAAAAAAATTGACATGTGGTTCGAAGAAAGATTTTAGAACAAAATTTATCTGAAAACGTTCCATGCTTATTGAGCGCACAAAAGCGTAAGAACTGGGAAGATGGACTAGTGAATTATTTATAGTATATTTAATATAGCATCTGGACTAGGAATTTCAATTAAAGGACAACGAAAAATGTATGCTTTAAAAATGTATGTAAAAATACAACATAAATGAATTAATCAATATCAATAAATACATACGAATACAATCTAAAGACATACGAAAAGCAATTTTAATTAAAATGAAATGGTAATTGACATTATCATGTATAAGTTCTTTTTCTTTTAGTAAAATTATAAACAGCGACATGTCTCAAGAGTATATGCAATCATTATACAAGTACCTCACAAACAATTACTCTATTGATCATAGTATATTATTAAACAGCATACAAAACAGCTGGATATTGGAGATTTAAGTTTTCCCATTCAGATGAATGAAATCATGGCACACTTTTCTTATAGAAGACATTTGCAGAGAACGCTTAAAAACAATTGAGAAAGATCCTCAACAATTTGTATCTGATTTAATTTCTGAAAGTGAAAAAATGGCCTATTCCTATTCAAAACCGTTACATTGACTTTGATCATTGTTTCTTAGGTTCAAAAGAGAATGTGGTTCAAGTAACATTTGAAAAAAGTTTTTGAACAAAATGACAAATACGGTTATGACATAGATCGTTCTTTTAATTATGCATTGTGCACAGTACTTCAAAATTATCTGAAGACTCACTTACTGAGTTACGAATAAAAAACTGCTATAGATGTTTGCAAGAATTTTTTATGCAAATTAGGTTGTACGATTAAGAATACCCCAGATGGTTGTGACTTAAATTTGAATATTTCAAGACATGTCAAAAAGGAAGAAGATACAGGACATCATGTTTCATGTGGTGTTGTTTCAGTTTTGGGGGCACCTAGTAATAATATACCTCCTAAAGACTTTATTGAAAAGCGTTCGTTACAATGCAGTTACTTGCTCAGCATAAATATGGTATACGATTCTCAAGCAACTGTGATGCACATTTACTTTGCAAACAATTAGGGGAATCAACAGTTAAATTTGAATTATTACAAGTCAAACTTAGTAAACATTGACGGTTAATATTGAAAACCATGCTTCTTGTTCAAGTAAAGGAATATCCTTTTTCTTTATAATTATGCTCGGATATCCTCTATGTGTGATACTTTTGATACAAAAGTTTCTGAAGGGATTTATCCTGACCTTCCAGCATTTGAAGATATTGACTGCAAACTGTTTTGTAATAACTTAGAATGGGAAATTTTATATTGTTATATATTAAGATTTCCTGCTGTAGTAAACGATTGTGTAAGAGATATTAAAGTGGATATTTTAATGTACACTATCTGTGCAATTTCTTGTCAGGATTTGTTGGTGTTTTTAGTGTATACTATAAAAATGTCAAAATTTTAGCGTCTAGTTATAGACATATGTCTTCATTAATACATGCAAGAATATATTTCATTAAAGCTATTGAAATTGTAATAAAAAACAGTCTCGTTTTGTTAGATATTGCACCTGTGAAGCGCATGTAATTTTTTCCAATGATATTTTATTTTCATATATGTTTAATTCCTTGTTTTAATTTATTTGTGGCTTAATAAATGATATGAACTTAGTGTTATATGTTATCTAGCAAACAAAAGCTATGTATTTTAGAAATATTTTTTATTTTAATCTTTGATTATTTTTATTAAATTTTGTGTTCTATAAATTCAAATTAATTTTATACATGATTTTTGTAGTTAAGAAAAGACTTTCATTCATATTTAATTTTTATCTAGTTTTAATTTTATTTAAAATTATCTCTATCAAGTGCTACGTAGTATATGGTTGTATTCTTCATACTTTTATCAATTCTGATTTTTCAATTCCCATAACATTTTATATAGCCTGCAACTATTTTGTAGTTTTTTTTAAAAAACCTAACTTGAATACTATAATTTATCTAACATTCCAGTATAGTTATTAAGAAGCAATGTTTAAACATTGCTTCTTAATAACTATACTTAGTTATTAATCAAATTAAAAATCCGATGTTTCAGTATAACTATCCCAGGGTTTTAAAAACACAATTTACAATTACATAAACGCCGGAATTCGTCGTAAATATTGTATGCGTTCTAAAATATTCTTATATCTTGTTAATTTACTAAATCAGTGGACTTTTGACAGAACAAACTTTATATTAAAACGTTTAATAAAATACAGTAGAAGTTCCTTATTCGCGCTTCCTACATTTGCATTTTCATTATTCGCGGCCAAAAAAATTGCGACCCAATTCCTATATTCGCTGCTAAAAATTTCGTTATTCGCGGATTCCAATATGTATCGAACCCAAAATCCTTGGTAAATGCCGTCATTTTGACCCAGTAAACATGCGATATGGTCACAACATCGTGGCAATATTTTATTTAGGTCGTGTGACATGCGGTACCCATATTCATTTTCGTCGATATTTAATGGATACGGCCGCAAATTTATGTAACTATCGAACAACTATCGAGGTTCGGTCTCTGGCGCACGCGGCGTTCGTGATACATGAAAATCGACGTTGACCCACATATGTTTGTTTATTATGATAAGACCGTCTGACGTAAGGCGTTCACCCCAGTCATGACGTCATTGGCGAATGAAAACGATTCGGTCATGACGTCATACAAAATGGCGACTCAGTTATGACGTAATAGCACCTGAAAGTGATGACGTAATGCAATTAATATTCTTTTCTGTACGAATAAGCATTTATTTACGTGAATAATAAGAAATTTTACAATATTTAAATATTACAAATTAGAATTGTAGTTTAGAAATTATAAAATTTTAACATGAACTATACTAGAAAACTATTTACAAATTATTCAATCTTAACATATTAATAACAGTATATTTAATGAAAATTGTTGTATATCTAATGAACGTAATTCTATTTTTGGGGCGTGAAGTGTGAAGTGTTGCATAAGTATTCTATCGCCACTTCCTTATACATCAAACAGCCTGCCTATTTTTCATTATTTCATTCTATTGCCAGTTCATTGCATCAAATGCCAGGATACAGATTATGCACATATGACATACTGCCCCAAATTTTGGAAGTTTTCTAAAACAAATTCAAACATAATGTGATTTACTGTATATAATATAATATATATATACAGCTACCATATGTGTAGCTACCTACATGTTCAGTGTACCAATATCCATCATCTTAAAGTCGCTTTTACACATACATTTTTAACACTGACTGATTTCATTCTATCGCCAGTTCAAATGCGAGGATACAGGATATTCATATATGTTGTACTTCTTGGAAGTTTTCTAAAACAATTTGAAACATAATGTGTTTTATTGAATCTAATAATATATATACCACTCCATATGTGTAGCAACTTACATATTCAGGAGACAAATCTAAATCGTCTTCGAGTCGCTTTTGCACATACATTTTTTTTAACCTGATTGAATTCATTCTATCTTCAGTTCATTATACATCAATACATCAATCAAGTTCATGCATATATGACATACTGTTCCCAATTTGAGAGGTTTTCTAAAACAATTATAAATATAATGTATTTGTTACCAAATAATATATATACAGCAACTATATATGAATCAACTTACATATTAAGAAGATAAATCTCCATTATCTTCAATTTGCTCCTAAACATACATATTTGAGCCTGTCTAAAGATCTGTATATTGTTCATCGTTTCATTCCAATTTTGTACGACTTCTGAAAAAAATATGAACATGGCATACGTGTTTGCTGTTTATATATATTTGTATAGCTATTATATTTGTAGTGACTTACATATTCAAACAATCATTCTCGATCCGCTTCTCAACCGACTAATTTAAGAGATTAAGAAGTGAGGTTATGTCGAACACATGGATATGTTAATGTCTTAATTTAGTAAAATAATTATTTTAACCTTGCTAAACGATCCTTATTATTGTCCTCAGATTTTGTAAGATATGCTATTTGGTTACCTCCTTTGTCATCTAAAGAAATCGACATAAAATAACGTTTCTTCATCCCAGGATATAATGCACTAAATGGAATTCAAAATCGTGAAGTAATTACATATCTATATAAATAATATATGATATACTTACGGTGTCATTTTTCTACACTTTTCTACAATTATCATAAACAAGTTGCTTAACTAAACGAATGTAATTATTATACTAAAGAAAATATAACTTGATGCATGATAAATTCGTGACATTTTGCGCCATTTTGTACGCGGTTGTCGCGGTTAGGTTAGCTTTCGTCAAAGAAACAGTCGGTTCCACCAGTGGCCACGGCGCGCTGATGTAAAGCTTTCTTTGTATGGTCACACACACCAGCACACAACGCACACAACGCAGCGCACGACGCGTTTGCTTCACGCCGTGTGACGTCATTGATTATGCTTTGCATGTGTGCTAACACACACCAGCGCACGACATGTATCTCACATGAAATTCAACGATGTCATTACCCCCCGACAGCGCGTGTTTATGTCTCGCGAGACAACTCAATGCGAGCTTTGCGTGTATTGTAACACACACAAGCGCACGCAAGTTTAAAATCCTCTTGTGGCGTAGATTCGATAACCGCATTATAATAACGATGTCGATATTATAGAAGATCACATCGCGTGTTTACTGGGGAACTAATAAAGAAATCTTTGACATAAGCCGCCTCCGTTGCCTTGGCCGTCTTCGCCGCTACCGATGTTTTTGAGATGATCAATGAAAAAAATATATTTTTAGTAAAATTTGACTTAAATCGAAAAAAATCCACACTTCCAGTCTTGTTTCATACTCGTTTTCTCAACTCTTTGTTTCTTAACGTTGTCAGTTAAATTGTTATATAATTTATTGTAAAAATCAAATACTTTTTTAACTAGTTGACAAGAATCTGTCTGCTGTTTCGTTTCGCTAAGGGAGAAAACTTCAGCAACTCTTTAACCGGTACTGAGGTGTGTTGCTGATGTTTTCAATTCAAATAATAATTGTTATTGGCTGAATACTACTGAACCCTTTGAATAACGCTGTTCCTGTAAGGCTAGGAATTTTTGAACTGGTGATTCTTAGCGTGCTAAGTACAAAAGCCATCGCCTGGCAGGTTTCAACCTGCGAAAGTATCTGCCGGGCGAGCCGAAAGGTTCCCTTTTATGAGCAAGAGGTAAAAGCATTAAAATAATCTTTATCCTATAAGGTTAACATTTATATGTGTTTATATAAGCGGTTTTAAAAAGGTATGTGCAACGCCAAGCCATTCTGTCCAGCCTAAGTCCTTGCCAGGCGAGGACAAAGATGCTGCGGCAGGAGCGTAGTAATCTAACAGGAGCAATGTGAAAACTAGACTAATATTATACATGTAAATTAAATTATGTAAAAATTAAGAAAATGAAATTATGGTAAAAATTGATTTAATTAGTTATGATAAAATATATACTTGATTTTTATCTTCCGGTAGAGTAAGTTATTGTCATAGTTAAAAGAAGAGTATTGTAATCGTCCAAAAATCGAAATTAAAAATTTTACATTTCTTCGCGTTATGAAAGTTTCTGAACATTTCGGCATACCTCAGAAAAAATGGATGTGTGTGTGTGTATGTATGGATACAATTTTTCGTCCACGTTTTCAGGCGCACGGATCAACTGATTTGAATGGTTTAAAAAAACATTCGATTCCTATTAATAGGGAAATATGCTGATTAGTTTTTGGCAAAGGCAGGTCCAGCCGTTTTGGAGATACGGGGCAAAGAGTGAAGAAAATAGAAATCGAGTTTTTGAGAGAACGGGGCATCCGATTCGAATGATCTAAAAAACATTCAATTCGTAATGACAGGGAAAAATAGTGATTAGAATTTGGCAAAGGCAGGTCCAGCCGTTTTGGAGATACCGAGCTAAATGGGCAAAAAATAGGAGTTTTTGAGAGAATTAAGCATCTGATCTTAAAAAACTTTCTGCTTGTTTTGACAAACTAATTGCTTTTGAAAAAAAAATGATTTCAAAATTTTTTTTTGAGCTTTGAAGCTCACTTATATACTTTAAATAAATAATTTTAACTTTGTAATTCAGTTTATATAACCCCTATAAATATTAGACAATGTTACAGTATTTATAGTAATCTATATGAAAACATTTAATATTTCTCGAACATATTACTTTACGGTACGGCAAGTTCCAGCAATTTGCCAAGGCACAACCCATACACAACTAGTGTAAATGAAAAAGGAAAAGATGAGGTTGAAAAGTTAACTCTAGGGTGATTGTCAACGCTGATGTTACTCTTAGTAAATCGTGTCCCCCACAGATGGCCGTTGTATTAAGCGTTCAACATTATTCTTCTTTCATCCCGACAGTTGCGAACAAGCGGCGGTGAGACGAGTGACAGCGCTTAAAGTGAACAGATCTAAAGGCGAGCACATAGTTAATACGTGCTGCTCATGTGCAGTATTTATATGTAAAATGAAGACGGTTATGTTTGAAATCTCATTTGGTATTTAAATGTGTAATAGTTTTATAATAGCAAGTGTTTGACCAAAATATATCGCGACAAGATGTTAATCAAAACATCCCATTTAACTTTTTCATCAAGTATTGTGGATTCGGCTTATGTTTCACAGGTGTGTTGTGTGTTGAAATTGTCTTAGCAACGCCGTGTTCTTGTGAATTGTTAAAACCGAGTGTAAATAGCATTAAATAATAATGAAAAATTGCACGTTGATTAAATTCATTCTTTTATCTAAATTATTGTTTAATTTACGTTCGATATCATTCTGAATATCGTGAAATGACGGTTGTTCGTGAAAAAAGGTATTTAAATTTGATCAAAATGGAAGAAACTGAAAGGAATATATCCGTACGATGCCCAAATAATGTGATGTTAGTTATAAATAAGTTTATTAATAAGTGTTTATATGATTTTAATTCTGTGAAGTGTTTCCTGTTTTTTATGACCGCATTGCTAGCAGTTACCTTCTGTCATGCTACAGGTAAGCGTTTCTTTGTCTTTCTCTACCTGGTGCATACATGTTTAATACAGGATCGAATTGTAATAAAATACTTCTAGTACTATTTATTTAACTTATTTTATATTTCACAATCTTTACAATTGTATAATGTGGGTAGCATATATTTTTAATTGTTAAATATTCCGTTGATATTTTACAAAGTTAAAATATTTTACAATCTTAAATACTACCACTGTGTAGTATTTTAAAATATTATTCTACACTTTAATCATAATAATTACTCGATGCCTTCCAGGCAATTGTAATTGGATGAAAATAAAAAAAAAAAAATATTTCGTTGACAATTTTAAATTAATAGTTTTCTAATAATAGTTCGGGTTATTTTTACTCTAGTAATATTTCAAACGACAACATTTAATTTTTACTACTCGGAATATGGTTTTTGTTGTTATATGTGTTTTCTAAATGATTTTTTAACTTCCCGGGGTATTGTAATCGTCCAAAAATCGAAAATGATTTTTTTCATATTCTTACGTTTCCGAAGTTTCAGAACATTTTTGCATACTTTAGAAAAAATGTATGTGTATGTATTTGTGAATACAATTCTTTGTCGACGATTTCGAGCGTACGGTTCAACCGATTTGAATGATTCAAAAAGCAGTCGATTCCCATTGACAGCTGATTAGTTTTAGGCAAAGACCCGTTTGGGAGAAATGCATCTAAAAGTGCAAAGAATGGCAGGTTTTATGAGAACGAAGCATCCGATTCGAATAATTCAAAAAAAAAAACATTTTGCTTGCGAAGAAACGATCAGTTTTTGGATTTTTTTTTTCATTTCATAATTGCAAAAAAAAATCCATTTTTTTTAAACGTCGAAAATGTTACGGATTTTGATTTTAACTCTAGCTGAAATTTTAAAGCTCATTCATATAATTGAAATAAATAATTTAAACTTTGCAATTCAGTTTATATAATTCTTACAAATATGAGATAAGTTCCTTCATTCTAACTCCGCTTGATTGAGTTTTGTTTGTTTACTTTTCATGTAAACATATATAATCGTCGTCGTTGTCCAATTTATAAGCTATTATATTTTATTTATAAAATACGCATAATGAAAATTACAGTATTTATAATAATCTATTTGAAAACATTTTTCATTATGGTGCGGAAAGCTCTAGCAATTTTCCTTAAGGCACGACGCACAACTAGTTCGTTCATAATTTATTTAGATATCAGGAGAGATAAAATTGGTATCACATACACATTTCTCTATAAACTACAAGATAATAAATTATTTTAATATTACCTTACCTCGCATATATCATATAAATTTTAAGCACATTTTTCCGACCATTTTTACATGAACTTTGCATTTCATTATTTTTACGTACTGTGGATTCGGCTTATGCTGAGAAATCCAATATTTGACTTATTATTAGGATTATGAAATTAAGAATTATTAGTTATAACAATTTTAAATAAAACATTAATATACGAACATAAAGCAGACCACTATTTTTACCTAAGGATTAACAAATTTCATTTTTTTTTATTTTCTTATAAATTACAATCTGTCTAAATAGACAGAAGACATTAAGTAATTAGTTTGACAAATAACATAGAATTTTAAAAGGAAAACCCCAGTGGTTCACCTTTTATTATTGTACTAAATTATATCTTACTTAAATATTGCTATAATAAAGAAAAAAAGAAACTCAAATATATACATACATTTCAAATGTTGAAAAAAAATCGACTTTTATATAATCTTGGCTGATAAACCGTATAAATATTATGTGCCAAAGCACTGTTATTATACTTTTGTAAAATAATGCGTTGTTTTTCATAGAAAGGCGTATGTTGATATGCCGATGTCGTAAAATCATATATATATATACGTTTTGATACTATAAATTTTGAATTTTAACTGTTATTTCAATTTTGATTGCCTTACAATTAGTCTTTTTACAGAGAGAATTTTGTATTATTTTCAGAAATTTGAAATGCTTTTTCTTAACTAACAATAAGTGTGTTAAAAGTGTAAATTAAAATTTATTCAAGTATTCATTTCTAAAAAAAGTTATACTTTATTTTTGGGGTTTAAATCCATTGCACTAATCTGCCATATTAGATAAATTGAATTTAAAATTGGTAATTCAGAATATCTATGTTCTAAAGGAGGAGATAATTGAAATCATTCAATTGATGAATTTATATTAATTGGAAATAATCTGATTCGATTTAAAATAAAAGATTCTCAAATTATATAAATAAATAAAATAATTCTAAATAATGAAATAAATCTTCCTAAAGAAGATAAGATATTTCAAGAAGTAAATCTATCTTGCACCAACATTAAATTTTAAAACATTTCAGTTTTTTTTCAAAATATATTCAAAAACATATAGGTAAAACAATAGATATTTTAAAAATTATTTTTTTAAACAAGTTCATATTAAACAAAACACTAATTTTCAAGTATTTAACATTTCTCAAACATTCAAAATTA